CAACAAAAAACTTCATTAAGGATTATTTGATATATAGTGAAACCTCAAGTTATAAAATAGAGAAATGTTCAATGTGCTGAGATTTTTTAAAAATAAATTCCGGAATGACTTCACTATAGCTAATAAAAGCTTTTATTAAAATCTGACTTAATAGAATACTTTAAAAACAAATATTGCACTATAAACAAAAACTGAGAATAATTAGCTAATTAGTTTTCCTGGTATTTTAAGTACACATCAAATCTGAATTTAGAAAAAAAAAAATCTGAATTTAGGAAATATGGTAGATATTTTAGATTAACAGAATAAAATTTTCTTTTTATCACATCAGTTTTGATGATCCTTTTAAAAAGATCTAATTAATTTAAGATATCAAAGGCAAATATGCTAAAGAATCACAGTAAATTTTCCAACTGGCAATCCTTTAGTATTTTTATCATTACATTTCGCTATTTGAACCTAGATTTTAAAATGTACAGTGAAAATCACTGCAATTATTTATATAAAGCTGTCAAGCTACAAACTACAGTAATTTAAAAATCCCCACTGGATAGATATTCTAATTCCTAATTTGGTCATAGATTAAAATAGGGCTATTTTAATCCACATGGGTCAACATTGGCATGAGATTACATGGAAAAGCTTCACATTTCAGAGTTGCACAAAATACAGAACAGCTATTAAACTTAAGTTTTAGTTCCTAATGAAAGCTGCATTAATATTCTTGTCTCTCTTTTTAAACATATGTTTAAACTCAAGTGTTCATGTACATTTGTGACCAATAAACACATGCGACAGAGAGCAAATTTCCACAAGGGATAACAAAAGTACATTTAACTTTAGTTACATATCCGCTGCAAGATGCATCAGATATATAGACAATCATAAATTAATTTGTTGTACAAATATTTGTGTCCTCCACACATCAAGCTATACAATAATCACTGGAGCTATATATAAAGATAACTTTACAACATAGTTTCTGCTCTTAAGTAGTTCAAACTCTAGCAAATCAAACAAAAACAATGAAAAAAATAATTTAAAAAAATGTAATAAGCGAGGTAAGCACAGAGTTTTTGGAGTACTAAGGAGGACACCTAACCCAAGCCTGCCTGGGTGGGAGATGGCTAAAAAGGCTTTCTGGAGATGGTAACACCCCTGAAAAAGTCTAAAATGAAGAGTAGTAGTTAGCCAAGTGAGAGAGAATGAAAGAAAAACATTACAGGCAGATGGGCAACAGTGGAACTATACACAAAAGATTCTGTATTGCTGGAGTATCAAGAGTGTAGTAAAGACTGGTAAAAGAGGCTAGAGTGCCCCAAACTAGTTAAGGAGCTTGAACTTCACCTGCAAGCCAGTAGTATAAATTATTATTTATCAAAAATCTTTTCACATTAAAGTTTAAAGTAGTTCAATATGTAAAATAGATCAAAGAAACTCCTCTGCTCTTAAGGGAGGAAGGGGTGGTATCAAAGGTGTCAGAAAGGGGCTAGAGCCTCATCTACTTTGTGGTCTTCCATAATACAGTCCCTGAGAAGCACAATTTGAAAACTACTGCTATGGGCAGGAAGCCATGAAAAGAAATTAAGGCAGATAAAACAACATAGTCAAACTTACATTTCAGCTAAACTACTCTGGGGAATATGTAAAAGATGAATTCAACATGGGCAAGACTGGAAGTGGGGAAAATTTTAAGAGTACTGTAATACTCTAGATGAGAGATAAGAAAGTCTGAACCAGGATAACGTATTATTATAATAGCTTGTGGGGCTGGGAAAGGATCCTTGGCTCTAGTTATACGAAGTACAGAGTCATAAATAGGCTGTAAAGTCTTGAGGAAGACTGCAGACACAAGTCATCTGAAACCCAAAAGATCTTTCTGTGTTCTGCTGTTTTGGATTTAGCTTGCCCTAATACTGGTTTACATACCAGTAAGTGCCTCTTGTTTTACAGCTTTAAGTCAAACTCGGAGTTTCTATGTCTCTAGTTTTCCTAGCTCATCTTGCCAAGGGTCCAATCTAGAACTAATGAAGAACATAATGGTAAAAAGTCTAACCAAGTAGACTTTAGTTTCCTAAACACTCAGGAATATTTATTCATATCCACCCTAATATCAGGATCTTAAAACTGAAGCTTATTTATTGTAAAGTAGTAATGTAGCAAATCCAGTCCTTGGGGATACTATTATAGCCCGATCTTCATGCGCTTATGGCTCCTTTGAGATAGAAAATAATAAGTATGGCCGGGCATGGTGGCTCATGCCTGTAATCCTAGCACTTTGGAAAGTCAAAGTGGGAGGACTGCTTGAGGCCAGGAATTCAAGACCAGACTGAGAAACACAGCAAGACGCCCATCTCTACAAAAAATAACAAAAATTAGCTGGGTGCATTGGTACACACCTTTAGTCCCAGTTACTCAGGAGGCTGAGGCAGGAGGATTGCTTGAGCCCAGCAGTTTGAGGCTGCAGTGAGCTGATTGGGCCACTGCATGCTAGCCTGAGCAACAGAGTGAGACCCTTTCTCAAAACAAACAAACAAACAAACAAAAAACCAAGAAAGAAAACGATACATACACTAGAAGATGTTCTTAAACCTATCTTAGATGACTGGATGTTACCAGATCTCCATACTCCATATATGGGAAACCTGGACTGGGTCTTAACTGGAATCTCTGGGACAGTCAAGGATATCCATAACAACAGTCCCACTTACTTTATTTGGCACATGGCCTTCCTAACCTCAGTTCTGTGTTTTATGACATAATTGGTGACAATCCCAGATTAGTCAATTCCTTCCTCATCCCATACCAATAATTTCCTACTCCTCCTTCAAATCTGAACAATCTCTGGGATCTCTTATACACATTTAGGCAGCATACGGCATTCTAAGACATCATTATACAAATGGTTACTCATTGTTTCATTCTTCATAACCAAAATATGCTCAGATTTACAATCAAAATTAATTGTAAATATAAATATTTTATATTCCCAATTAATGCCAAAACGCCAAGATAGGACATAAATAATAAAAGCAATAAGCATATAAGCAATGAGTATTAAGGACAGGAAGATGAGTGATAGCTGTTTTCCAAAATCATTTCCTAGCGGCACTAAGAAAAATGAAGAGGAAAGGACAAATTTGGGGAGAAAAAACTTAAAAAAAACAGAAACAGAAAAACTTGTTGAGTGACCATATGTGAGGAAGAAATCAGAATCAAGGATGATATATTTAAAACAAATATCCATTTGGAATCCACTATGTGACAGACAATATTCTGAAAATTGGGGACAAACAGGATCCCTGGTCTTATGGAGATCATATTCTATAGGGAAGAGAAATAATAAATACATAAATATGTTAATTTCATGCTGTGATACATACTCTAAAGAAAATAAGGCCAAGCTTTCCCGAGTCTGTAAGAGCAGACTGTACATACAAGTTAACTCTTCAGTCACTTCAAACTCTGCATTGATTTCACAAATAAACAAGAATCAAGGAAAACAACTCAATATTGTCTTGTTTTTTAATTGACTACGGATGTTGCTCCCAATGTCCGCAATTCTTTGAGCAGTGGTTGTTGCCCAAAGGCTAATAGTCTTAAGCAAGTTTTTATCCCTACACATTTGTTTGGCTGCTGCAATCACATGCCACCAGTGAACAGCTTTCTCTGCTTGGCTAATAAGCCACTCATAAACTTACAGAATATTGCAGCCTTGTTTTCCTTTATTTTTGTGGAGAAATTCTACTGGGATGAGATATTCCATTTTAAATTTTCTATTTTTCTAGGC